TTTTTTTATTTTTCTATCTCCATCTTTTTAATTTTATTTTGATTTGAAAAAGTTTTGCTTTTTTTAATAATTAAAAATAATTATTTGGTTTATTTCCTTTCATTTAATTTTCAATTTTATTTTAATTCGTTTTTTTATTTATTTTCATTTTATCTCGGTTTAATAATTATGATTAATTTTTCCATTTTATTTTCTTCTTTTTAAGTTTTTTTAACAGACATCTTTATTTTATTTGAATTTACATTAACACTTTGTTTTTATTTATTTGGTTTTATTTTTCATTTCTATTTACTTTTTCTTTTTATTTCTTTTTTGCCCAATTTTATTTGAATTCAAATTTTTATGTTATATTAAATCGTTTAATTTGTCATTTATATTTTACCTTATTTTATTTATTTATTTCCTTTCAATGTTATTCAATTTAATTTATTTGGTTTTATTTATTATTTTTGTTTTTGTTTGTGTAAACAAAACACAAGTTTATCTACTTTAATTCATTTAATTTCATTTTGCTTTTTTTTAATTGTATTTAATTTTATGTGAACATATTTTTATCTTCTTTATTTAATTTTATCTTGTTTAATTTTTTATCTTTATATCATTTGCTTTTTTTTGCTTTTTATTTATTATCATTTTATTATTTTTATTTATTATCACTTTATTTTTTATTTATTTACCACCTATTTTCTTTTATTTTACTGCTATATAAATTTTATTAAATTTACTTCGTTTAAATGAATTTTAATATTGTTTTAACTAAACATAATTTCCTTTTTTATTTCAACCAAATATAGTTTTTTTGGTTTCATTTTATTTTATTTTACAAAAAATTGTTATATTTTTTTTATTTATTTATTTTTACTTTAATTTATTTTAATTTTTTTACTTTAATTAATTAAATTTATTTTTCAAATTTTTTTCATTCCTTAAATTATTTTAATTTTAGACGCTTTTAAAATATTTTGTATTATAATTCATTTGTTATTTTATTTTATGTTGTATACTTTTTTTTACTTTACTAATTTTACTTTTGTTATCTATGTGCTATTTTTCTGTATCCGCTATATTGCCTAACAAATTAGCGTTATACAATATTTTTATAGTTTTGGTTGAGAATTTATATATATCGAATTTTTATCTCACCAGTTTTCGCTCACATTGACATAAATATCAATTCACATGTGCAGTGTATTTAATGAAATAAATGAATTTTTGTGGTCACCAAAATACCGAAATAAATAATTGAATATAAATATTTTTTATTTTATACATATGAATGAATATCAGAAAAAAATTTAGAAAGATTTAGATATGAAATAATACACTATTTTATTATTTTAAATATTTTTTATGGAATAAAAAATTCTAAAAAAGATAAATCCTTGGATAATTGTATTCAAGGTTAGTGGCAGGCAACACCACAAGGAATTAGAAGAATTATTATTTTGAGATTTTTTTTATTAAATCTGAAGACCTTCCACCTTTTATATTTTCGAAGATATATTTGTTTAATGTCTACACAGCGCTTTGATAAATTTTAGATATGATGTAATTCGTACTATCGTTGCTCAAGTTAATTATTTTTATTTGGAACAAATACACCAATCATTACAAACCATAACTGACCCTTGGAAAGAGATATCGAACAGGTACGTAATTTAATATCTATTTTTTTCCAATTTAAATGTTTACAGTTGACAGTGACAGTGAGTTTTTCTAGTGTGTTTTTGGCATACAAACTCCTGTCTAATATTCAGCCTTCATATTTTAGTGTGATTAGCATTGCGTACTGACATTCGGGAGGCTCGGGTTCAAGTCCAGGTGCCACCGAGATCCAAAAAAAGTTATAGAAAATTAATTTAAAATAAGAAATTAAATTAATTTCTCGATTATAATTGCGGTCGCCCCTAGGGGAATACAACTCCCGAGTGTATGTCGGACATGAAATAAAGGCTGTTCGTAAAAAATACCATCAGCCATTCGCAGGCGGCTCAGTATAAGCTGTAGGTCCCTCCATTTATTGGAAAATCATCAAGACGCAAAACCACCTAATTTAGTTTTAATGTTTTAATTATTACGATTTCCGGCCGAGCTCCTCCTCCAATTTGAGGTTTTCGTCTTGCGTACAAAAAATAGTGGGACTTACAATTTAATTTTAAATGGTTCTCCGATATTTATGTGGAGCTTCTCTTATTCACTTTCAGAAATACACTCGGAGAGCTTGACATTCTTTGCCGAGCAGCAACCGCAATTAATATATTAATTATCTATTAATTATCTATAAGTTTCACCCCCGAACTCCAGCTTTGGCCTTCCGAATGTTAGTATGTAATGCTTACCACTCGGTCGATTTAAAAATCTTTAAAGTCAATGCTGTTTCTTTTTTAAAAATATTGGTTTTATTGGGACTTTTTCTGCAAAAAATTCTTCAAGTTCTGTTTATTAATCGTTGAGGGAGGCGAACTCACACAATTTCGTTTTTAAACTGCAGAAAAGACAACACAAATTTAACAGTAATAACTCAAAACCTCTTGGCAAATTTTTCAAAATTTACACTTCTATTTTCAAATTATATTTGTGGCTTAAGGAGTTTCTAGCAGCACAAGAAAGTTCAGTAATTCCATGGAGCACCACCTCGCTCCACAAATTTCGAATAACCAATGCGCTCAATAAACTCTCAAACGCAACAAATGGAATACTCACTTTGCACCATCTGCAAATTTCTCACCCGGAGCTCACGCCTAAACTCCCCCCAATAAATCTTTAGTGTGTAAAGAAGTATGACCACGCCGCATTATCTCTTAATTTTTTCTATTGAGTTAACACCGAACTCCATTAAGATCCAAACGGCTCTATGAATAAATTCAAAGCTATTATTGACATCACCTTTCCTACTCCTAAACACCCTCTCCCTCTTACCCCCAAAGCTTAGACATATGAATTGATTTAGTCAGGCCCGTCTGGCTGTCGGTGTGTCTTTCCGCATCTGAATATAAAATTTAATATTTTATACGGATTTCATGAATTTTATATTGATAGGCTAGATTGAAGTGGCTGTCAGGCATCAAAATACTTACACCTAGGCTACTAATAGTGCCCATTGTCATACAACATGCCATTTAGACTCCGCCCGCTAGTCAAAAAAATTTGTGGAGTTGGCGAAACAGAGTAATCTAAGTAACCTTGTGGCCTCCAATTCACTCAGGTCCCTAAAGGTTGTCACCCTTAAGGAATTCAACCTATTCCTCCAAAATGAAGGACATTCGCAGGTTCTTCCTTCTCTCCACAATTTCTGCAGAATGATATGCCCAGTCTCTGTGCGTGCCCACCTAAAGATGACCTGGAAGAAAAGCCATTTAAAGCCACCTATTGTAAGCGATCGATCTTCTCTTGCTTCAGTAAATGAGACTTTTCCAACTTGAATTCGCATCTACGATAAATTACTTTCCTATGATGAGCTTACAATTGGAGAGTCACATTCCCAGACTTTTCAATGATGGACATCGGATCTGGCAATCGCAGAGATTTGCAGTTCCCAAATTCCCTATAAAGTAGGATCGAGTCTGCATATACTAGAAGATACCCGTACCATTTTATCTAAGCGAAATAATCATCTAGTACTTCGTCAAGTCAGCTCAAGCTATACATTAGTCCACACCTTTTGGTATACGAAACCTTCTTAATATATTGATGTGACGCTTGTTTATCAACTTCATTTCAGAATCTTACTGCAAGCTTACCTCAGCAGAAGCTGCATTTTGCATCCATGTTTATGGGCCTTACATCCAAGAGGGCATTCAATAGGTGTGGTTCGTAGAATTTCACTAATAAATGTGAGAGCTACCTCTGAAATCTTCAGAGTTTTCAAACAATTGATTTCTTCTCGAGTACTGACCACCAGACTAGTCTACTCTATACCTGCCCCACTTCTGCCCAATCGGCCGTTGGCACGTATAAAGAGTAATAGATGCTTTTCGCGACCGCTCCTACGAGTTTTGTTACCAGTTTAATTTCTTATCCAAAATGAGTGATAAGTATTTTGCAACCTCGTTGCTGAGAGCACTGGAGTAAGTAGCTTTGTAGTCTTATATTTCCACGTGAAGAGAACAAGTTCGGTTTTTCGTGGGTCAATGCCTCAGCCAGCGTCATAAGAACACCTTTCAAAGCGCCTTAGTTTGCCCGACATGGCATCACATAAAATTTGAATGAATTCTTTAAAGGATTAAATATTGCTTTCAGTTATTTAACTTGTGTTCAAGTCTTGCAAGATTTCTCAAAGGAATCCAAGGCATCACCACAACACTTTGTGATGTTTGCTGATTTAATTCATCATAGACAAAACAAATTAAAACTTTGAATTAACTCACTACCCCGTCAATCCTGAGTTATTTAGATTATTCATCTCATATTCCTTCTCCTGTGCCTATCTTAGGCATGCACACACATACATACGTATTGTACATATAGGTACATTTGTTCTCTCACTCGTAAACAATGGCACTGTCGTGGGTGATTAACAGATCTAACTATAAAACCACTTCCCAAAGCCGTACATACATACACACTATTACTACATACTATACTCGTACTGTATACAACTTCACTTCATTACATTACAACCTTTGACATTTAACCATTATGCTTGCATTAAGCCTTGACAACTGAAAAGCAACAAGGAAAGAAGAAGAAAAAAACAGAAATACAATAAAAACATAAAAAACAAAAATAACAAAAAATATTTCGCATACATTTAATTGAAAGAAATATATACATATTGTACATACATATAAACTGCACACACATATTTGTACATACGTGTAGGTACATATACAACTTAAGATAGCGCAAAGCACAAAATGCCAGAAAACATATTATGTAATTAGTATAAATGTCGGAGATACATATATACATATAGATATATATACATATGTATGTATGCATGAGTAATATATATAAATTTATCTGTATATATATACAATTTGGTAGCAACATATTATTACCATTTTGACTGATGAGTAGTATGAGTAAATGTAATAGTAACAATAAATCCATTGCGAATTATTATTTGTTGTTTTTGTTGTTGAACGTATTAAGTATTTTTTTGTGTTGTTTGTTAGCTAACACATTATACGCTTACAAACGCAGTCAAACACATTTTAATGTTATTATTGCCGTTATTTTATGTGTGATGTCGTTTGTTCTTCGTTCTTGTTGTTATTATTATTGTTGTTGTTGTTGAAAATAATCCACTAAACAAGACATATAGAGAGCCTCGAGTGCGTCGAGCGTAGTTTGTTTCTATCCTCACTGCTACTGGCCGCTGCTTTGATGTGCTGCTAAATTATCCTTTTGTGTTGTTAACGTAATCCTTTATGGGTAATTAAATCCATTTTATATTATACGTACTGTTGTTGAATGACTGAGAAGAATCATTTTTTTGCACATGAGTACTGAAAAATTTCCGGTTTTGGTTTTCTATTGTAAGAACAAAAAAATTTTTTACTCAAGTTTTTTCATTAAAACTTAATCACTAATTTTGTACATTTTTTTTTTAATTTCATATTTTAAAAATATTTTGTGTTACTAAATAGTATTATATTTTAACTTAATTCATTTATTTTTGTTTTATATTATTTTTTTCTTTACAACTTTCTTATTTATTTTCATATAATATAATTTTATTTATATTATTTTTTTATTTTTGTTAATTTAATTTAATTATGTTTTATTTAATTTTAATCGATTTAATATATTTTTAATTTATTTTATTTTTATTTATGTACTTTTATTTAATTTCTGTTAAATTTATTTTATTATACCTTTTTTAAATTACATTTATATAATTTTATTTCATTTGTTTTGTTTTATTTTATATTAATGAGTTTTTCATTTTATTTTAAATAAATCATGTAATTGTTTTAATATTTTTTATTTTATTTGCTTTTATTTAATTTCGCTCAATTTTATTTCATTTTATTTTGATTTAAATTATTTTTAATTACCTTTCAATTATTATTTTTTTTATTTGTTTCATTTACTATATTTACTTTAATTAAATTTTTTTTAAATTTTATTTTGATGTAATTTAAATAATTTTTTTCAATTATTTATTTTATCTTAATTTTAATAAGTCAGTTTAATTTAATTTAATTTGGTTTTTTTTTAATTTTTTTAAATTTTTTTTTTGTATATTCCATTTTAATTTGTATACTCGTTTTTATTTATTTTAACTTATATTTTAAATCTCTCCAATTTTATTATTTATTTAACAGTTTTATATTTTTATTTATATCTTTATACTATTTATATTTTATTTTGTTTTATTTAATTTTCTTTCACTTTATTTTAATTTCAGTTATTTTACTCAACTCACTTTATTTTATTTACTTTTTATTTAGTTAATTTAATTAATTTTTTTATATTTGATTAAAAATATTTTTTAAGTTTAATCATATTTATTTAATTATGTTTTGCTACTACTTTATTTTTTCCAACTTTCTTTTATTTTTTCATTGTTTTGTTCATTTGTTATATTAATTGATTTTCAATTTTATTATTTACTTTTTTTCAGTATCAATTAGTAATTTTTTATTTTTATTTAATAATGTTCATTTATTTTCTGTTTTGTGATTTCTTTCAATTTAATTTATTTTATATTATTTTATTTTAATATATTTAATTTGTTTATTATATTTTTTTGTATTAAATTAATTAAATTTTTTATTTTGCTTAATTTTCTCATTTATTAAATTTTAGTTTCCTTTATTACATTTTATTAATTCAATTGTTTACTATTGTTGTTTAAATTAATTTAATTTAATTTGTTATTTTGTTCCATTTTAAATGACTAAATTTTAGTTTCCTTCATTGCATTTCATTTAATTATATTTTGTTTTTATTAATATCATTTCATTCTTTTAATTGCTTTATTCCTTCATTCTATCTTTTTCACATTAGTATATTTTATTTTGTTTTTGATTGTATTTTAGATTAAATTATTTTATTTCAATTATTTTAAATTAAAACAATAAAATAGTTTTATTTTGATTTGTTTCACAATATCCTATTTTATTATTATTTCTTTATTTTATTATATTATGTAAAATATTTTTTTTCTGTTCGTTGGAAAAACATCAAGAGGCAAACCACAAATTGGTGGAGGAGCTCGGCCGAAAATCGCTTCAGCGGTTACAAGGCGCCAATTATACATATATTATGTATACATTAAATATTTTTTAATTTTTTTTTATTTTACTCAATTTTAGTTTATATTTTATTTTATTAATGGTTTGTGTTATTTTTCCAACAAATGGTGTGATATGAGGAGCCTTAGTTTCATGTCAGAAATACTCTGAGGTCTTGACATTTACTATCGAAGAATGACCGCAATCACAAAAACTAACCTAAATTTCTAATTAAATGAATTTTCTTTTAATTTTGTGGATGTTGGTCGCCCCAGAAACCGAATCCTGATCTTTGGAATGCTTACCACTCGGTTGATTTAGCTTATTTTAATTAAATTTTAATTATTTTAGTTTAATTTAATTTCATTTTTGTTTGTTTTAATATACTTTATCTTAGTTTATTTCAAATTAATTTCTTAATAGTGTATTTTACTTTAATCTATTTTGTTTTTCCTTTTCCAATCTATTTTATGATATTTTTCTGTATTATATTTTATTCCTTTATTTATTAGTTTTTTCTTTTATTTCATTTATTTTTATTATATTTTATTATAATAATTTTTTAATTTTTTTTTGTATCACTGCAAAATTTTTACCTGTTGTCTCATGCAATCACTTTCGTTCACACTTGTTTTCTTTATACAGTTGTATGTGTGCACTGTATTCAATTTCAATATTTTCCTTTTTGCCTCACTTTATCATACATTCAAACATATGTACATACATATACATCTATTATCCTCATATCACTTGTTATGCTTTGTTCATTCAATTTTTGCATAAATATTTTTCGCACTGTCGGATCATCCGTATGACATCATTCTGGGGCTTTCACAAAGCCAACGCTTAATTGCCAAGAAGAAGTCAGTGCGATCCCAAAAAAAAAAACAAAAACAAAAACAAATGAAATCAACACGCACAGCTCATCATAGTGACAAATTTACCACCACACTCGGTCCACTGCCACCAACACGGAGCGCTGAAAGCAACAACACCCACAATGGCATGCCGCCGCCGATGACAACATTTTCAAATTTGCCGCCAACCTATCCTTGAAACATGAAAATATTTTTTCTTTGGTGGCTCTTCAAGAACAAAAAACACATAATCGACCGAGTATAAACGACCAGCAGTCGGCGACGAAGCGGCGTACGGCTCAAGAATTTCAAATTTACTGCAGATACACTTTTAAATCAAGCTATAGCGTTTTTCTCTACGATTATCCTTTGACGTCTTCGCCACACAACAACATTCGCGTCTACGTGTATGTCTTAGCCTAGTCCACGATTCGTAGGAATATTGGTCGAAAAGTCATGGCTATGTGACTTCGAGGAAGAAACGCGTCGAATCGCCGCCACCTCTGAATGATGACTGAAATGTTCCTGCGTAGCCAAGGCAAGGCAAGTCAAGTCGAGCCAAGGATGCGTCTGATGATGATGTTGTTGATGGTATTGTTGGTTGTTGGCCAACACGCACGAATTGAGATTTTTTGAGCAAAGGACGCTATATACGACGAGGAGTCTACACTCGGCTGCACGATTGCTCCAAAGCGTGCTTACAATAAAAAACAAATGCAATGCAGTTGAATAACCGAAACGAAAGTTAAGTAAAAACGTCAATGCACCGTATCCGTATACCGTTATCGCACAAATACACACACACACACACACGATGCAATGATACAAAAAGTACCGTTGCGATGTTGGCTTGCTGCCTGTCAGAAGACCGCGTTCAAATCTCGACTGTATCAGAAATTGCACTGAAGTAACTTCGCATCCTGTCGTATCCTTTATTTTGACCGAAAATGTAGTTCATGCAGCTCGTTAAACATGTTGACACACTTTCCGCCATCGCTACTGCTCCCGCCAGCTGTTGTTATTGCTACACGTACTGTTCGGCAATGAGCCTGTAGGTGTGTGTGTGCGTTCTCGTCGTAGTGGCATCATCACCATCATTAAGAACGGTGAATCGAACATGTTGCACATGTCAGAACTCTCAGGCAACTTGTCGAGTCTCGTAATGATGTCATGCGGCGCCAGTGTACGCTCTCGTAGGGATGAGAGTGTCTGGTGACGTCGAATGCTGCTGGCAACATGTTGCAAAAGGAATAAAGGACGCGCGTAGTATATGACCAGAGAGAAAGAGAGTGAGTGGCAGTAAGAGCAGTTGCGCGCTAAAAAATTGTCTGAGCACGAAGCTTTTGGCGTTGTTGAAAATTACTTTTGTCCATTTTATAGCAAGGATAATGCTATAAATAATTTATAACAGTTTTTATTTTGAGAAGAGATAAGCTATGCGTTCCTAGATAATGACTCCAAGCTGTATTTTTTTTTTAATATTTGGTTTTTCCATAAACTGGTTGCAGACTTGGTTTGCGTGTGTCCTGTTTGAGTTTTCCTTGTCCTACACCGTTATTCATTGAAGGCTTGTGGAAGTTATCTTCAATAATCTTATCGATGAAGTGTAGATATTTGCCAGGAGTGGCTATAAACCGTTAACTGTAATAATGATGTTCGATAACTTGAAAGCTTTCCTTCAAAAGTTTAAGCAAAATTATTTTCATTCCGAAGTTTTTATTTTATGCTTTACATGACCAAATGTCGATGAGAAAAGGACACTCAATCTTATCACTGTCCTTCGGATTCTTATTAAGTCCTTAATTTCGAAAACTAAATGCCAAATGTAAAACATATTGCAGGGCAATACTGGATGCGTTCGAAATTACTCGCTTAGAAGAAGATTCTGAAGGATTTTTTACGAACTCCGGCTGTGAGTATACACACCTGGGTTATGATATTGATGTTGTTGGATAACTTTATGAAATCATTCCTATCGTTGAAACTCCTAGAATAAGCCGTGTCTCCTTACCATACCGCAGTTGGAAATGTTGTAAAGAATTTACCCGTAGTAAGGCATGACTGCCATAAGAGTCAACTAAAAATCAATCGCTCCCTGGAAGGGCTTTATACTGAAACATCCCGAATTTTTCTACGATCAAGAACTATCTCTCACGCAACTTGCCCTATAAGCCAGTTTGGGCCTACTACAACAAAAACTTCTATGATCTAACATTTCGCACAGACGATTTTTCAGAAGTCTACATTAGCTGAGTGCTCAAAAGCTTGTATTCTCTCTATTTCTCTCAATGTTTAGCTTTGGAGTTCGTATAGTTATTTCTCATTCAGAGTATGTTAAACAAGTAATAAAGTGTGGTCTTTTCTAAACTCGGAGCCAAGCAAGCCCAATGGTAAATTCATCAAAGCTGCTATCAAAATTGAAATGTGTGGCGCCAATTGGAAATACCAAGTACATCCAGGTCCTTATCTACCTGGTCTTTCCACCGGCGGGTACTGCATCGAAAACTTTCAAAGCTGGAGAATTCGCATCCATACGGATCACATGACCTAGCCAGCGTAGCCGCTGCTTCTTGATTCGCTGAACTAAATCAATGTCGCCGTATAACTCGTACAGCTCATCGTTTCATCGTCTACGGTATTCAACGTTGCCAAAGCGCAAAAGACCATAAATCTTACGCAAAACTTTTCTCTCGAAAACTCTTAGCGCCGTCTCATCGGACTCTGTCATCATCCATGATTCCGCACCTTATAGCTGGACGGGAACAATGAGGGACTTGTAGAGTTTGGTTTTCGTTCGTCGGGAGAGGACTTTACTTTTCAATTGCCTACTCAGTCCAAAGCAGCACCTGTTGGCAAGAGTGATTCTTCGTTGGATTTCAAGACTAACTGGTGTTAATGCTGGTTCCTTGATAGGCGAAATTATCAAAGTTATTACTGTCAACAGTGACGTGGGAGCCGAGTCGCGAATGCGATGACTGTTTGTGTGCTGACAGGAGATGTTTCGTCTTGCCCTCATTCACTACCAAACTCATATTCTTCGCTTCCTTATCCAGTCTGGTGGCCTGTTATTAAACCCTACAAAGGCTTAACTATGAACTCAACCATGAAGGCATTGTTCTGTTGGGCACGTTCGACCTCTGAAATCTTTACCAATATAATGGCAGATGGAATATAACACAGACGCCCTCCTCAAAGGCCACAAAGTACTACGATAAAATGAAAATAAACCGAAGTTAGGATTGGCTGTGAAGAGTTTTTAAAGACACTCTCATATGATATTTCAAAATCAACTGAAATTATGATGTCGTTTGTATTAAATGAAGCACAAGCATGGTCTGGACGTAACGTATCTGTAAGTGTCGTAAAAAGACATATGAGTAATTAATTAAAGTTTGCTTAGATCGGGTCAAGATTTTGAATTATTACATGCTGATATTCTTAAATTATTATAGAGACCCGCATAGTTAACTAACTATTTAATTGATTTGCTCAATCACGGGGTCCCTTTATCGATCGCTTATAGGCCCGTTGTGATGCCAATGGCTTTTAGAAGAGATTCCTTCACCTTTCTATATGCTGAAGATATTTGGTTTGATGAAACACACGAGATTATTGACACTTGCTGACGCTATACTTGTAAGGCAGTCAAAGTAGAAATTACCTAGGAAACGATGTTGCGCTGCACTGCACGGCTGCACGTGTAAATTTCTGCAGCCGCGACAGAAGTCTGTTCATAAGGAGTAGCACAAAGTTTTGTATAGTATCAAGACCAGATCTGCCCCGCCACATTGCATGTGGTTTAACCTTGCAATCTGCTATCGGCCGTGCTGGTGAAGGCTGATCTTAGTAGGCATTTTTTTTTTGTGTAGCCAATAAACTACATATTTACGATCTTAGACTAGATACTTTCAAACTAGTTTCAATGACAGATGAGCTTATTATCTAAGATTATATCGAGGTATTGAAACATTTAGTTACTGACCGCAATCTCTAAACCGAATTCCTTATTACTTATATGATATATTGGAATCGATCACTTAAAACTAGGAGTGTTTTCCAGTTGCTCTGTGGGCGATTTTGTCAACATATGCTATCACCTTGCGAAGCGGCATGTTGACAGCGGAGCACAAAAGGCATGGAGAAGAGAGAACTCTAATCTATGGAGTGCCAATTTTGACATACCTGGTTGCGGATGCGCTTTCTAATACAGAAAAAATTATACTATTTCCTGAGAGAGATTTCACCAGTTTCACTAAGTGTGCTCCTAATACTCTTACTCAGAGTGCGTTCATGATCATCTTGGCCTCTTTTAAAACTATACCTTTCTCGATCCTCGCCACGATTACGTGAAGAGCGCTGTTGTCAGATTTACGCTTAGAGTAGACTTGCTGGTTCTCCAGTAGACAATTCGAAGTTATCTCTGGAGCGATTGACATTCACTGCCGAGTGGCGACCGCAATTACAAAAATTAACTTTGTAATTTTGAATGTAGATCGAACCAGATTTCGAACCCTAGACGTCAGAAAGGTGCACTTAAAAATCGACTCCTCAGAAATTGTGTTTCCGTGGTTTTTCTCTTCTTCTGTAATTTTCCCGTCTCGTTGGTGTTTTAGTTTTTTCATTCGTAAGTGGAGGCACTTCCGTGATGCTTTGATTAATTACCCAACATTATTATTTAAATAAATACATTATTGCTTGTTTAAAATTTTCGAGATTCACCAAATCTTTATTTAAAAAAATTTGCACACAAAAGAGTTGATTTTGAATGCAGACTAAGAACGGAAAGGTGGCTATTTTTGATACCTTAGCAGAATATTTTATTAGAAATAATTGTAGCAGATATGTACATATATATAGGCACACACTTACACATACGTGTATGTCAACTATAACCATTCTAAATTGGTAGCAAAAGATAAGAACCCCTAAGTTCATTGGTATTCAAAACAAGCGAGAGCACTAAAACTTAAGCAAATAAACAAAAGTCTTCCAAAGAGCATGATTTAAAAATTTTGGGCACATCTGAAGTCAACTAAACTTTAACTAATTTAGATGTATACACTATTTGTTTATAATTTCTTTTACACACTAGGCGAACCAACTCCATGCCCCAGTGGAAATTTCTATCATTAGAATGGTAGATATATATAAATACATATCAATTTCAATGTAAAATCATTGAATATTTTTAAAATGTACAAATATAGAGCTTATATTCATTAAACAGGATTTTTTTCTAAATTGAAATACGTGTGTAAATGTATCCTATTTTTGCCTATTAAAATACAAACTTACCAACAAATTTTATTTCGAGTAGCTAAAATTTACCCACAAATATACATATCAACGCAGCATGAATCAAAACTCCATTCCCAATAGAGTACCACTGACAAATGCTAATACATAAACGTATACTTGTATATGTGGCAAAAGCTCCAATGGAGTTTTTGGCAGTCGGCTGACCATACTTTTAATCCATATATGTACGAGTATGAAATTATAATAAATGTGGTGTGTGACCAAAGCCAAATGGACTTAGTTTGATTTTAGATGGATATAAATTATTTATTTGAGTGCCTACGTAGAATTAAAGTTCTTCAGAGACATTTTAACGGTAATACATATTAAAATAAAAAATATAATAAAATATAAATAAAAAATTACACTAATAACACAAAATAAAAAGAAACAAAAAATAAAATAAAACAAAATATGATAAAGTAAAATAAAATAAAATAAATTAAAAGAAAATTAAATTAAAGTAAAAAAATTGAAAAAAATTCAATTAATAATTAAATTAAATTAATAAAAAAAATGCAAAAATAGAATACAATAAAATAAAATAAATAAAGTAAAATAAAACAAAATAAAGAGAAACAAAATAAAATATAATATAATATAATCTAATAAAATAAAAAAATAAAATAAAGTAAAACAAAAAAAAAAATTAACTTAAATTGAATTAAATAAAATAATTCAAAATAAAAGATAGAAAAAATTTAAATTAATAAAATTTAATAAAACAAAATAAGATATATATAAATAAAATAATATATAACAAATTAAAATAAGGTAAAAATAGAAACAAAATAAAATAAAAAAATTGATATAATCAAATAAAATTAAATTAATAAAATTAAATAAAACAAAACAAATTAAAAGAAAATAAAATAAAGTATAATAAAATAAAAATAAACAAAATAAAAAAAAACGTAAATAAAATGAAAAAAAAAATAAAATAAAATAAGATAAAAAAATAAAATCAAGTACAATAAAATAGAATGGAATACAAAAATTTAGCCAAATTAAAATAAATAATAATGATATGAATAGAAATAAATATAAATTAAAAATATAAGTTAAACCAACATTAAATAAAGTAAAATAAAATAAAATTGACCAAAAAATAATTAAATTAAATTAAATTAGATAAATTAAAATAAAAAATATAATAATATTAAATTAATAAATAAATTAAATTGATAAAATAAAATAAAATAAAGAAAAACCAAATAAATAAAGTAAAATAAAACAAAATAAAGAGATACAAAATAAAATAAAATATAATATAATCTAATAAAAAAATAAATAAATAAAATAAACCAAAATAAAATTTAATTATGTTAAATAAATCAAAATGAAAAAATAAAAAAAATTAAATTAATATTTAAGTTAAATTAATAAAAAAACTAAAACAAAATAAAATAAAACAAATTACAACAAAGTGAAAAAAAAACAAAATAAAATAAAAAATATAATAATATAAAATAAAATGAAACAAATTGAAATTAAATAAAATTAAATTAAATAAAACAAAGTATAATAAAACAAACTAAAATAAAATAAAGTAATATAAAATAAAATAAAATAAAATAAAATAAAATAAAATAAAATAAAATAAAATAAAATAAAATAAAGTAAAATAAATAAAATAAAATAAATAAAATGAGATGAGATGAAACTAAAAATTATTTGGAAAATTGCACAAAGTTTACGCTTCAGTTTTGATTTAAAAATTATCATATCTTTTATGCTTTTGTATAGAAATTTTATAGCAAAAATCAAACAAGACTCATTTTCAAATAACCATTAACGATGTTTATATAAACACTAGGTATGTATATAAGCATGTATTTGCTATGGTTTTTAGTCTAAAAATATTTTACCAAAATAATACCTTACACTCGTCATATGCATACATATGTATGTACGTAGGTTACAAATATTGGAAAATTAAGTTGAACAAAACGAAAGTCATATCGTTATCATACAGCTTATATACTTATATTTGTATTGTACATATATTACCTACATATAGCATACATATAACCAAGCCGTGTGGTGGGACAGAGAAAAAGCTTAACTGCTCAACTCAGTACATTCGTATGTTGTTATGCCATTGTTGGTAATGAAATTTCGAATTAAAAAAAAACACAATTTTTTGGCGATTTTATTGACGTTATTGTTGCTACTTGTATTCATTGTATTTATATATATTATATATTTCAAAAGGAAAAAATGAGATGCCAAATTTATTAAGAATGACCAAACGTCTAGAATATTGCGCTGATTATATGCATATATCACATATACAAACTAACACAAACACATATGCAAATCAAAAATATGTAGCAAATAGTATACAGAATTTGGTATAAATAGTGTTTTGGACAGAAACAATCAACATTCCATTTGCAGTGCTCGCTCTTGTAATATCTCCAACAAACAAGAAAATCAACACCAACAAAATGATGAAATTGGTAAGAAAATTTTAGAAAAAAGTCATTATTTTTTTTTTATTATTTATTATCAGCCAAATATCATTTCCATACTTTCATTACATATATATTTTTACTAAGCGATCCTTTTTTATGTTTGCTTTCAGTTGCTCCTCGTTATTGCCGCTCTCTTCGCTGTTGCCATGGCTGTACCCGCACCAGTAGCCGGTCCCAATCCTGAGCCAAATCCTCAATTCGTCTATGGTTCTTACCCAGCTGTCGCCTCTTATCCTTATGTCTACTACGGTTAGACTATGAAGGTGGATGTGATCTTCGTTAAGGATTTTCTGGTTATGGATACGGTTGTGGCTACGGTTTAATGCATTCCAACAATAACAATTTCATATGTGGACAACAATAGCAGTGATATACATGAATTAAGGGTGTCGCGTGTTTTTTTATACATTTTTTATTTTATTTTTAATATTTTTTTAACAAAAAAAAAATAGAATTTGCAAGTAAAAATGATTTTTATTTTTTAAATTTAATTACCCTCGGTGAAAAGTTAACCAGATCTTTTATTTGTTATATCCTCCCTCCTTAATGTTGATCAGTGAGATCTTTCAGAAACCGTAGAGGGTTTCCTATCTAACATAACATTTGGACAAAGGATTAAGATCTTAAAAGAATTTAAAAACTTCAAGAACTAGTGGACTACTAGATCATAATGCCATCTCGAATAGTAGCCAGGCTTTATCCATGTTGATATCGATTTGGTTATGGATATTTCGGACCTCGGAGAAGTTGATCAGTACAGTCCATGTCCGAAAGGTACCTCCCTGCGTTGTACAGGACAAACACGATTCGACATCGAAAGCAGTGACTGATTCTTTCAAGGCACTAATTGAAGATACCTTTGGGCACGGTGTCCTGTGAATTGTAGCAAGACGTTCGTCCATTGCAGGAACGGGTGCTAAAATCCAAACGCCCCCGATTAGGGAGACATAGTCTTAGGCTCAAAACTCCACGAGGGAGTATTTCCTCTCTCCGAAACGGGCATGAGACTATTAGACCATTTCAACGTCTTCTTGCAGCAGAACTCTTAACGACCATGGAAGCTACCGAATACCTCCTCAAAACTAGGGTGTTCTGAGTGCCCGGGAACAAAGGCATCCCAGGCAATTTTACGGCAGACGTACTCGCAAGAGCAGAAACCCTTCTATCCACAATAAACCATGTAAGGCTACCTCTACCTCACTGCAAAATATATGCTAAAACTCTGTAAAAATAAACACTAGTTGGTTGAATGAGATCACGAAAATATCAGGATATCATATCCTTCTCGACCGGTTGTCCATTAGTATAACGTCTGGAGTAATAACAGGTCACTATAACTCTGATGATTTTTGCTGCAGCTGCGAAGACGAAGAACATTACCTCTGGCACTGTCCAATCTTGACATCTACGCGACACAAGTTCCCCGGATAACACGTATTTGACTGCTCTTGCTGAGCAAGCATCAGCGAACATACTTGTAGTTAACTGCTGCACCTTCTCAATTAAGACACGGAAAATTCCTTTTGCGTGCCTTCAAATCATATATCTTCGTAATATATTACCCTTAGACAGGGGCCCACTCGCGGACACATCTCTGATGAGCAGACGCTACAGTAAAACTTCAGCGAACCCATCAACCGAGTTAGTTATTTAGTAAGGTACTGGAAACCGCTCGACCTGACAATATACACATAGTCTTGAACGTTATTCAATGATAGCTACATTACAGTTAGCCGAGAAAGACCTCCGAAATTCTTGGACTCGCGACCGGAGCAATAGAGTTACTTTTCGTGGACCCAGTGTACTTAACCTTCGTAGAAATCTTCACAAGTTACCTTCTGAGATGACCACAAAGTTCTAACATTTAGACTGAGCCATGTCAGAAGAACTACTTCTCTGCTATGTTTTCTACAAAGATTGTTGGAACAGCCAACCCTGCCATGCCTTGAACTAAGTTTACTCTTAATATTATTTTCACACTTTTCTTTCGATATTAATTTTATTTATGGGGACCTCATTGCTTGTATCACTCATCTCTCAAGTGATGTGTTTATACAAGTCGAAAATAAATTCCCCAAATGCATCGTAGAACATCTCCAGACCCAACCATTCAGCGAATGTGCGCAACAACATAAGGAACCACTTCGGCAGCGGAGTGAGCTCGCAAACATCTTCGATGACTTCCATACGGGACAAGATGGACGGATGTAATTTCAACTGCTCGTGTAACTGCAGCGAATTCAAGGCTATGCTACAAACGTAATTGTCGAAGAGCATGAAACTCTCGACATTGAAGCGCACTAAATCGGTGTCGGATTCATTTTGCTGCGACGAGGCCTGTGGCGGCGGTTGCCAACACAACTCCGGACGTATATACATCTTGAATTTGTATGTCTCGGCGAGATCGAAGAAATTGTGTAAGTCTGTGCCGGATGGTTGAATGGCATCGTTAATGCGATCGATCAGCGTCATTAAGTGAACGCCGCTCTCTGTGTGATATTTACTGATGATACGAGATTGTGTGCTGCGCCGACGCCCACGTCTTTCAGCCGGTACCTCAAATTCCAGCTCCGAGCTACTTTTACAGCCCACAACCTCTTTGCTATCACGTTTCAGCAGCGTTAATGGCAGCTCACATTGTACTTTTTGTTGTTCTTGACAACAACCACCGTTCAGATTCTTCATTATATTCGCAATGATCGCGGTGTTCATAGTAACCGTCTTTAAATCAATATATTTATTACCCACAATTGTAGCGTACTTGTCGAAAACATTACTCGCACGCAATTCCGCCAACTCCTTCTTCGTTATGCTAGTCATGCCGAGGTGATCTTCGTTTTTACGATCGATCACATGTAGTTTATAGAGATTGTTGTGTTTGCTGGCAGGTGTTATGAGCACCACCACATCCGATGGCCACTTGCCGCGATGCAGTTGTTCTATCATTTGATCCAGTGAGGTCTCTGTACGCTTGCCACCATCGGCGGTATGTGCATCTACTCTCGCTGCGTGAACCGGCACTTCTACGAGGCTTTTGATAATGAGCGGCGTGGCGTCCTCGGTGATGATTGCGCTGCGTACGGTCCGTTTCTTTTTCGGTTGACCGCTTCTACAACCAACTTCGCGGGGTTGACGTTCGCGTAGTAATTTGGCGCAAAGCTCCTTGATGGTCGGACTCATCGGCGGTATCTGGTGCATTGCAAGGACTGGTTAATGATAAGTAGTTGACTTAAATTATGGAAAGATTAAAGTATAAAAGCAAAATTGCACAATTTTTTTAGTATAAAACTGCCAAAATATCACAAAATCCAAAAATTATTTTGTATTCGTTTGTCACAACACTTTGGAAGAACTCTCTCTGTTTTGATATTAAATTTTCCTTTTGTTTGGAAAAAGCTTGATGAAAAACGCTCTCTCAAGCACGAAAACCCAGAGTTGCCTTCAGTTTCAATAGGAAGTAGGAATCCCATGCTATTCCATCCTCTGCAGTAAAATTGGATACACTGCTAGACTTCTTTTCACAAATTCTTATTCAGAAGCTCTAAGTGGGCAACAGAATTCACCATACTACGGTGATCATGTAGAAAGCTCTTCAACAGTTCTAGGAGCCTGTGTGCCTAAAAACGTAGAAAGCTGAGTTCAGAGTCTATAAGAGACACTGAAATTGAGGAAGTAGCGGAAACCACTTGGTCGAGAGCGATTATGTCTGAATTCTCAATACTGTAGATTTTCGTCAAAAACAGGGCAGTATATGGACTATTTCTAGAATAGTAAGAATAGAAAACTATAAAACTACTTCTAGGTGATCACTTCCTTGGCAACTCGCCCACTCCTAAGAGTTCAGCTCAATTGTCACTGGCACCTGTCACTGCTGAAATGATAATTCGTGCAATAAGAGCCTTAAGTCCATACAAACCACCAGGGTAGGACGGTATTATACCTGCACAGCGATAAAACAGCTTATAGCTACCCCAAGACAGCACATAGCTTAAAATTTAACCACATATCACTGGTATTGAGACGGGTATAAGTTATGGCATGGATACGGGTATCAGTCGGCTTCATTCCCAAGGCAAGTAAAGGCACTTAAAGTTGCCCTAAAGATTTTAGGACCATAAGTCTTTCCTTTTATGGGCTAACAGCATTAGAGGGGATCATAGAACCATCTTTCTCTCTCATGATGAGCATGCTCTCAAATAATCGTGACACCTAACAGAAGGGTAAACAGACACCGCTACATTAACTGAATACTTTTATTAAAAAGCCTATCTAAAGTAAAGAATTCTATCCAATTGTCTTCCTAGACGTAGAGGGCCCCCCTTCAGTGTCATCCTAGCGAGAGCAGCTCCTCTAATTATTTTCATTTCATGTCTGTAATACCTTCGGAGGAGTTGACGTTCAATACCGAGGAGCCTACGCAATTACAGAAATTATCCCTTTCCTTCTGAATGGTAGAAACTATCTAGCTAACTTCTCGGCTATTGCGGTCGGCAACCTAACTTAAATTTTCCGATAATTAGATTATGTAGAAGTTGAATCTTATACAGAATCTATACCTTGAACTACATGGAAGTCATTCTTGGTATCAGACCGATTAACTTAAAAAGAGACTAAGAGAAACAGCGCTAGGAGCTAGCCGCCTAAATATACCAGATATTTGGGTCATGTCCCTCAACTGTGAAGGACATGATGGTATGTAGAAAGTCATGAGCGAACTCACCAGAATAAGACTAAGAATTGTTCGGTTCGACTTACTTTACTGGCGTAGACACCGCTTACGCGATTATAGCCGAGTTAACAACATTGCGCCATTTGTTTCTTCTTTTTGCTGTTTGGCGCCAATTGGAAATACTTGTACCGAGCACAGCCGGGTCCTTCTCCAACTGAACTTTTCAACGGAGTGGAGGTCTTTCCCTTCCTATGCTTAGATCGGCGGATACTGCCTCGAAATCTTTCAAAGCTGGAGTATTCGTATCCATCCGGACCTTATGACCTAGCCAACGTAGCAGCTGTTTCTTGATTCGCTGATGAGGCTGAATATGAGGAAGACAAAGGAGTAGGGATTTTCAGTGAACACACCAATAACCAAAGTAGCTCAAAACAAGTCTGTCTTTCAGGCAAAGTTGCCTCTATCCACGGCCTCAGACACTTCCTCGCCTTCAAGTGATATTCGAAGCAGTAGCAGCTTGGAAGAACACCTAAGGTATTAAAACTTTTTCAACATTGGACTTACCAGTAAATTATTGTGGGGCAGCTCAAACAGCAGACCGAAGCAATTGTTACTTGCATTAAATAAAAGAGAACTTAACATTCTTATTTTGATGGTGCAATCCAATCGACTGCATGCAGAGCATGCACAAAGGGTGACCAAATTATGGAGCACTATCTTTGCTAGCTGCTCGCCTTCAGCCGGTTGAGGCGTTACATACTCCATGATACCCCCAGCTCTAACCTCATTGCACAGTTGTAAGTAACTAATGGTGGAGTACCATAAGCCTGTTCAATGGCTTAGGTACAGCCGCTTGCGGTCAGGTTCTCAATATCCCTTAAACAATATGAAACACAGTTTTTTTTTTTACAAAAATTCAATATTATTTATTTTATAAAGGTACAAAAAAATATAAAAATGTAACTCGTTACAACCTTAACGTAAAGCACCATTGCTAAGTACACATGTGAAAATCGTCATCAGACAAAGTAAAAGGGAAACCAAAGCCGCAACCAAGACCAACAATTAAACGAAGAAGAAGTCGACAAAAGGTTCTTACATCCCTTTAACCATAATAGACATAAGGATATGCGGCATATGGATAACCACTATAAATGAATTGTGGGTTAGGCTCCGGGTTGGGACCGGCAACCGGTGCGGGTACGGCTAATGCAACAGCGAAAAGAGCAGCAATGACGAGCAGCAACTGGAAGTGGAGGAATATAAAACAATATATATAATATGTATATGGGAAAATTTGTATTGTAAATAGAAATAACTTACCAGCTTGAACATTTTGAAAATATTTGTTATTTTGTTTTGTTTGCGTTATTACTAGTGCGAGCACAGCGTTTGGAATGTTGTTTGTAAGCGCCCAAAAGCGCCTTTTATACTCGAGTGAACAATTTTCTGACTTTCTGTAGTGATTTCCGTTGACAAACACTTTTGACTGGCATTTCGTCATCCTCACCAAAATCAGCAGTATTTTACCAATACAAAAATAATTGTAAATGAATATGAGAAGAATAGTACTTATTAATTATTAAGATTTGTTACTTCATTATGATCAATGGCGCAATGTCCATTCATTAAATAAGCTTCGTATGGTAGCAATAAAGCTGAGAAGCTTTCTTCCCCCCTCCCCCCTCCCCCCTGCCCAACTGCTGAAAATTTCGTTTGGAGGATACTTTCGCTGTTACTTATGTACGTTTTGTTATTGTAAAATTTTTAAAATTATATATTCTAAATGCATCGCCGCACGAAATTATCCAAAGGCATAGCGTAATATTTTATTTTTGTTTGGTATGCAAATTTTGGAATATTACATACAAAGATGTATGAGTATACATATAAGTGAAATAAATAAAATAGAATAAAAAAAATATGAAAAGAAAATAAAATTAAATGAAATAAAAAAATAAAAATAAAATAAAATAAAATAAAATAAAATAAAATAAAATAAAATAAAATAAAATAAAATAAAGTAAAATAAAATAAAATAAAATAAAATAAAGATATAAAATAACATAAAGCGAAATGCTATAACATAAATTAAATTAATATAAAGAAAATAAATTTAAATTAAATTAAATTAAATCAAAGGAAAACAGAAAGAAAATAAGATGAAATTAAATTAAATCAAACAAAATAAAATCAATTAAAATAAAATAAATAAATAATAATAAAATAAATTAAATTAATATAAAACAAAGTAAATTTAAATTAAATAAAATTAAATCAAATGAAAATAGAAAAAAATCACACAAAATGAAATCAATTAAATTAAAATAAACTAAAATAATACAGAAGCAACATAATAAATAAATTATGAAAAAATAAAATAGAATATAATTAAATTAAAATAATTATATAATGTAAAAATAAAGTTAAATAAAACAGAAGAAATCTATAAAAAAAATGAAGAAAGAAATAAAGTTGAAACAAAAAATGAAATAGAATTAAAATATAAAAAAAATTTAATTAAATAAATAAAATTACGGCTTTTTAACCGCTAAAGTGATTTTCGGTAAAGCCCCTTAATGGCCGAGGAGCTTTTTATTTTTGTTAGAAACACACTCTGATGGCTTGACATTGCCTGCCGAAGCGCGACCGTAAATAGAAACCTAGAAATTCTGAATGTTGGTCGAAACAATACTCGAGACCTAGCGTCGAATAGAGCGTAGGCAATCCCAACCTCCTGGCTATTTTCGTTGAAATAAAATTAAGATAAGATACATCAAATTAAGGAAAACAAAAATAAATAAATAATAATAAATTAAATTAAATTAAAATAAAATAAATGAAATTAAGATAAATTAAAGTAAATAAAATAACCACATAAAATTGAATAAAAAAAATCAAATATCGATTAAAAAAATTAATTAATTTCTTTTTTAGCGGATATTACTTCATTTAACATTTTTTTAACTCATAATATAAAGCAATAATTCCTCTATATGCCTCTTAAACGACTACCTTATTCATGTACATGGCACATATGTATGTATGTATGTATCATATGTAGAACGTTGCTGTTCTCCATGTTAGCTGCGCTAAAATATGATCAAACCCGATCCCTATCTCTCATCCATCAATAATCTCTTACCGTGAAAATATTTCGAATGAAATTCTGCCATATCATTGTTATAATTTTGGCACAAATATTTATTTTTGTTGCAGATTTCGTTGAGAAAATGTCAATTTGTCATTAGAATCAAAATATTGTTCATTAATAAATTTTAATTGGCTTGAAACTAGTTTGATTGCACATTAAAATAAAAAAAATATTTCGAGGAATTTCTGTTCTACAACGTAATAAATGTGACATACGTACATACATACAAGTATGTACATTTAATAAATTTGCTCTAATTTTATGATTGACGAATTTTGAATATATATATGTACATATATGAATGTGAGTTCAACTTCTTTTCTTTTTTGATACGAGCAACACAATCTTCAGACGAGGCCGAAAATTTCTTGCACATAGAGATGGCAATCAAAAGTGATTAATCGATTTATTAATTGACAAAGACATCCCCAAATGTGTTGAGGCTAATCGACTTTACAGTGGCCCGGAATATGGTAACAAAGATTTCGGCAAGAGTACCATCTCTGCGCAGAAAAGAAAACCAGTCGACAAGCAAGTTGAAAAAAGCCAACCACAAAGAGGTGACTAGCGATTGATGCCCTTAGTATATTGAATTTGTGGAGGGAGCAGCTCTCAAGCCTCATGTGTGGCAGTGAAAATGGAAGACGATGAGATGACGGGCCCGATTCCCCAATCGATGAAGATTAAACATATTATAATTTTATGTTTTAATTATTGTTTGTTTTTGTGAACGGTGCAAATAAATCATAAAAATCTCATAAATACCCTATAAGCCACTTAAGTCGATTAAATTTGATAAAACTTTTAAATTCACTCTAACTGCTAAATGTATGGAGATTTCGAAATGTGAGCAGCTAGTTGTTGGTTCTGTGAGGAAGATTCCTTTCTCCGTTCCAGATGGTGTGTTCAATGAGCGTTCGGGAGATTAAACATATAATGCCGACAGATGCAAGCCGACAGATACAAGGCCTTCGAAGAAGAAATTTCGTTTGAGAAGTAGCCCGTCCTTCTACCAAGAGCTCCTCCAACAGAGTGTTCGGTTATGACGGCGGTTCTTATGCTTTTGGAAGTCCCGAAAACTTAGTTTTCTTCACTTCGTTCAATTACTCAGGGTTTCATTTTGCCAACTCGCTCTATTGGCACATCTGGTGAAAACTAGTCTTAACAGGTACGATGAAAGAAGTATGCTCACGATATTTGCTGAGTTTATAGGATTTGTGACTGTTTCCTATTGGGTCCGCTCATCGGCCCACAGTTTCCTTGGCTGTCCCTCTGACCAGATACTCAAACCACGGATGTTTCACATATAGTAGAGAAAATCTACAATAAAAATGTAAGTTTCGCAAACAGTAATAAAAAGATTTCTACTCTTTCCACTTTATTTGCAATAAAAAGAATCACAACATCAACAATTCTTTTCGAATAGCAGTTGCCCGTTACAAAAACAACAAGCCGAGCGATCTATTCAAACACGGCGGCGGAGAACTTATAAGAAGCATGCATCAGCTTCTGTGCAAAATATGCTCTAATGGAACCTTAGTGGCTTTTGGGTTGAGTACATAGTGCCTTTGTAAACTGTAAAAAAAACGAGGTTTTCGACAAGGTGATTTCTAATCGTGTGACTTCTTCAATTAATACGCGAAAAAATAATTCGAGCCGCAAAGCTGAGTAGAGAAGATAAAAATTTTCTATAAGAGATCATGCTGGCGTATGCCTGGCTTATTCGACCGCGCCGTAAATTCTGATTTTTCCAGTCTAGATAAGGAAGCGAAGATATGGGTTTACTAGTGCAAGTGGCCAAAGCCAAAGCAAAATTTCTTCTGTCATCAAATAAGCAAACATCGCTTTGGGACTCGGCATAACTTTGGAATCATAGACAGCTTCGCCTATCCTGAAATCACTCTTTCCAACAGATTATACTTTGGGCTGAGTTAGCAATTGACAAATAAAATCCTCTCTCGACTAGCAAAGACCCAAGTCGATGACAACATCTGATGAGTCGGCGTGGTGAATTTTTGAGAGAAAGATTTTGCAAAAGATTTATGGTTCTTTGCGATACCTACCAATTATCGATTCTGATTTTCTGATATCGAACAAGAGCACATCTGACAGCTGACAGTTATAGAAAACCTAAGCCGCTTATTGGTCACTTGTTTTCTTGATTATTTTGTGTCAAATTTAAGTTTGATTTAAATTGCATCATTTTTATCCTGAAAGTAGTTGCTTTACATGTATAAATTTGTATATATATATATGTATGAATGTTTCCTCTACATACATCACATGTTGCCGGATATGTCTGCGTTGACAAACCGCTGGTATTTCCCAGTTAATTTTTGATGTTTTAAATTTATTTTAAATTTAAGAATTTTGCTTAACGCCATAGTATTTTGTATGAAAAAATTGCTACGAAAGCATTTATTTGAAACATGACTGGCAAGCCAATGAACCGAAGTGATACAAATAACGTAGAATTATAACAAAAAATAAAAAAAAATTATTTAATATAAAAAAATAAACATAAATAAAGCGGAGCTAAAAATTAAAATAATAAATTAACACAAATTAAATTTTATCTAGAGCAATATTATCTTTTTTTTAAATTATTGGGATTAATTTAATCTTTGCTTTCTACTATTTCGAGCAAATTTACTTTTTTTGTGTATAAATACACACGATATATATACATAAATATGTGCAATAGTATTTATTCACATACGTACTTTGTTCTAAAAATATTATATTTATTCAACGACAAACTCATTAAATGACAATTAGAAGTTCTTTCAATAAATCGACAGCTGCATGGAATTATATAATTTTTTAAATTTATTTAATGATGATTTTTATTTATTTTTAGTTATTATTTTTTGTAACCACAAATGTATTTACAAACATGTGTATATATTATAGAAGTACTTAATTCGATTTGCCACTTTTTTTTTTTTTTTGCATCACTAAGCCCATTCTTAATTGACATGCATGAGACGTACTTTTTCCCACTTTTGCTTTTCTTTTTCGCTTTGTTTGTTTTTTTATTACTTTGTTCTAGAATTTTATTTTTAAAAATTTGTTTTGCTCTGTGAGTGGATTGTGGGTGCTTACGTGTGTAGAAAAGTAAGCAAAATTAGGTATTTACATTTTTTTTATTTAGAAGAAGGTGTGGAATAATACACAATAATGATCGTTAGCTAGCCGGTAAGCCGCGTCAGCGCTATAAACGAAATATGAAAAAATAATTATAAAAAATATTAAATAAAAAACAATCATAAAGTAACAAATAATGAAAATAAGGTAAAAAAATTCTTATAAACTTAGATGAAATAAAGCAAAATTTAATGAAACAAAATAAAATTATGCAGAAAAAAATAATGAAAAAATTTTATAAAATGAAAAAATAAATAAATAAGTAAAAAAAAATAACATAAAAAAAATAAAAAGAATAAAAATAAATTAATTAAATAACTAAGCAAATAAAATAGAATAATACATATGAGTTAAATACAATTAAATAAAATAAAACAAAAGAAATAAAAAAATGTAATTGAAAAAATTCAACAAAATATTTTTTTTTGCGGGTGAGAAGAAGAAAAATTGCTTCCGCAGCATCATACTCATGTGCCACTTGCAGGTCATTAAAACTGACTCCTCTTATTTAACGCCGCTTTCGCATTACTTCAAAGTGGCGTTCCATATTACTCGTTTTGACATTTACATTTCAGCTTATGCGTCCAGGTCTCGCTTTTTCTGGCATACACGTGTATAACATACTTTACATATACGGCTATATGTTTGCAGTTTGCCTCACTCTGAAGCATTACTGGAATGATGTTATCCGTACTCAGAGGCCCTGCCAGGTTCTCCAGTACCTCTCGTTCCGTTAGCCATCGTGCGTACTTCGGAAATGTACTGCGCGGTACTGCCTTCGGTAGGATTATTGTGCGAGTATATTCAGGACTGTTCTTCTGCTTTGCCCATTTGATGTAAGCATTACCGTAGGTAAGCGGACTAAAGTGTTACGTTTTTAATTAGCCTTTCCGTCTGTTTGCTGCCAATTTTTTTCTCAGGACTATGATATCGGTTGAACGTTTCTAGTTTTATGTCGTCTCCTATACACAGATTCCTTTATTATTTATTATTTTCTCATATTCAAGTGCAAGCAGTTTTATAGGAACACTTTCTTCAATGCGACCGTTATAGTTCTAATAGTACTAACAGTAAGTGACATCAGCAATTTTCTTTTCATTTACGTGGGTTCTTTTGATTTAGGACATCACCCTGCCCAGCTGAATTGCTATTTTAGTAGCCTTTGCTGTAGAGTAATTCATTTGTGCTGGCAAAAAGTTCTAGGACGTCTTGAGATTGTTGGATAGGTTTTTTCGGTGGCTAGTTAGACGCGGCGCGAGTTGAGCAGCGTTTGTATATATATGTGGTTTAATTTTTTCGTGCATTTCCAAGCTCGCAGATAATTATTAATAAAATAAAATGAAATAAAATAAAATAAAATGAACAAAATAAAATAATACTAAATAAAATAAAATAAAATTAAATTAAATTAAATTAAATTAAATTAAATAAAATAAAATAAAATAAAATAAAATAAAATAAAATAAAATAAAATAAAATAAAATAAAATAAAATAAAATAAAATAAAATAAAATAAAATAAATGAAATACAAAGATAAAAAATTAAATATTAAATACAATAAAATAAGGTTTACTGAGACAAAAAAAAATTAAATTTTATTAAATAGAAAAATAGAATTAAAAAATGTAATAAATTAAAAACAATTAAATAGAATAAATTAAGCAAAATAAGAAAAGCAAAAATAGAGTAGACTAAATCAAATTATGGTAAAGTGAAATAAACCAAAAGTGAAAAGTAGAAATTAAACAAATTTAATTGATTGATTAATTACATAAAATAAAATTAATTTAAAATAAGATATAGAAATAAAATTCTAAGCAGATATATACATATATACGTCAAATTTTTTGTGTCACAATTCAATAAAGAATTATATCTTTTGGTAGTACAATGAAAGCCGACATCGCGCAGAAATTAGTTTAAAATAAAAATAAAAATGAAAAATTATAGAAAAAATATGAAAAAGACGAAACATTAAAAGTTTAAAAAATAAACACCAAAACCAAAGCAAATTGTATGAGCTAACAAAAGGAAATAATAAATGGCTAAAAATAAGTATACACTCACAAGAAGAATTAAAATAATTCGTAAATAGAATTTCAAATGAATTTACGAAAATCGAAAGAAAAATTCATATACAAAAAATACACAAAATGAATGCTAATAAAAAAGAGTAATTGTTTAAAATAACTACTCTTTTTTTTTGTAACTATAGTGTATACACATACAATTATATGCACATAAAAAATCTCAACATATAAATAGAGCACACATTTCCAACGAAAAGACATTCCAAACACAACCAGCGCTCCGCTTACAGCAAATTCAAACGCACAATAAAGAAACCAACAAAATGTTCAAGCTCGTAAGTAAATCTCAGTTTAAACCATCATTATTTTATTATATTTGCTTTTGATTTGCTTTCAATTACAACGTCACTACGTAAATACTTAATCCTGCGCCACTTAGCAATTCAATAATCCGCGAATGGAACAATTATCTTAACCAGCGGCAACAGAGCAGTGAGCAGTGATGGTAGTACTTGTAGTAGTGGCGCTGCAGTGCACTTATCTAATAGTATTATTACTAATAATAACCATTTTATAACAAATCTTTCTCTTCTTCTTTTTTCTTTGTTCCTCTAACCAGTTCGTTGTCCTTTTCGCCGCTCTCTTCGCCTTCGCTGCTGCCGGCCCATCACCAGTCGCACGTCCAGCACCATTGCCGGTCGCTAGTCCACACCCAGCACCTGCGCCAGCACCGGCACCACAATTCTACTATGGCGGCTATGCGTCACCCTACTCCTACGCCTACTCCGGCTACCCCTACTACGGTTAAGCGTGGCGAGTGACTCTTTAGTGCCATTTTGTGTGGGTGTGTGTGTGAGCGTTTGCTGTATATGTACTCGTATATGTATGTTGCACACGAATATTTGTTTGTGTATAAGTAAGTGTAAGTGAGCTGTGGGATTAGCGAAATTCATACGGAAATTATAGAAAGGATTATACTCTGTAGCAGTGATGCGCTCAGGCGGTGACTCGGTTACGTTTTCCCACTACAGTTGCATATCTACATACATATAACTACATACATACACACATATGTATAAGTATGTGCACACATTATTCGTAGCTATTACAAATTCACTTATAACGAAGCTAACTACACCTACACACTTTGGCGTAAGGACTAATTGCTCTATTGTTAATGGACCAAGGATAATGGATTTCGGTTAATGCACTTTGGCAAAATTTTAATTAGTTTTAGTCTTTGATTTAAGTTATGCTGTAGCTTACAACACATTTGTCCATATGTGAAATTGTTAAAAAAAAAAAAGAAAAAATTTGAATAAAAAAAATATTGCAAGGAAAAGCAGAAAAGAAATTTTATGTGAGATTAGTGCTTGGAATATTTACTTCGTATTTCAAAAACTTTTGCAAATATATTTTTTTTTTTTACTTAGCATAACGGTTTTCTACTCGACCTGCACTGCTGCCCTCTAAAAGCACGAATCAGCAACAGCAGAGGCGAGAACCATTTGCCTACCTCGCAACATTTCGCTCGAACCACTCGTGTAGTGGAATAGAGAGCTGAAGAGGGAAGCAAAACGGTTGTGCAAACAACAAACAAAGAGGCCGAGATGTGTGTGTATGAAGAACTTGAGCAGTTGGCCGTCAAGGGTAATGCTTGAAAATTATACGAACAGATACGTAGCGTACTCATGTAGGACCCAAAGAGGTTATTTAGCGGCTGATGCCCGGAGTGTATTGAATTTATGGGTGGGGGAACTTTTTCAACCTGGTGAATTGCGATTTAAGAGACGTTTCATTGCAATCGCCCACATCCAAAGTAAACAGTCAGCTAAATATGATCATAGATTAGAACCAAAGCGTGCTCAGCACAATCCACCAAAAGGGGAAGTCTACGACTAAAGCCCTCTATCAGCAAACTAATTGGACGTCATCAATGTGGCTTTAGAGCTGGTAATTGCCACATTGACACCATATGTACCAAATTTGGAAAATACCCATGAAAAGTGGATTGACACATACAAACTCCGCTTTGCCTGAATTTCGTATCACGGTAAAACTTATACGGCTGTGTAAGCAGACGTTAAGGAAGACTGTAAGCTCCATTAGTATCGAGGTGGACCTCCGAGTCCTTTGATACCAAAAGAGGTTTTGGACAAGGTGTTTCCTTATTTTATGACTTCCTTCATCTATTGCCGGCTTGCAGTCATAACCTTGGAAGTCGTAGATAACTACGGTCCTTTAGAACCAGCAATAATGTCAGCCTTGAAATCCAGCGCGGAATCACTCTTGCCAACAGGTGCTATTGAGTTGGCATTTGCAAAGTAAAGTCCTCTCAAGATGAGTCGACGTTCGGAGTTTAAAAAAGAACGATTTTACAGAAGATTTATGCTTTCTTGAGCATTAACAACGGCGAATACCGCTGCTGGTAGAACGAAGAGCTATACGACATTGCCATAGAGATCAGCAGATCAAGAGACGATGGCTATGCTGGTCCAGATGGACATAAATACACTAACTTTAAAAGTTCTCAATGCAGTACCCGCCAGTACTAGGTAGAGAAGGACCTGGATGTATTTGACACTTGCAACAGATATCAAACAGCGAATTATGTTAATTCGGTTATAATTTCCTAATTGGTTGCTACGCCAGTAAAAAGGAAGAAGAGCTGTTTTTAATTTAAAGAAGTCCACCCTAAAGCAAGACTTTTAAAAATATCAAACGAAATTATCGTTCTGCTAGCGTGTTGGCAGAATTTCTACTTTACATTTTCTGTGACAAGTTGCCTTAAACGACTTATTCGCTTCTTTGGTCTAGCTTTGAGAGCAATAAAGCAAATTCTCTTCATCATCTTGAGTGACCCTGACCAGAGATTGGCAGTTTTAGTCTTAGAAATTTTCGAATCTTTCTTATTTTCTTCTGAAACCATTTTCCAAAAATCTCTCCAATGGTTTAATGCTTTCTAGTATAATCACAACGGAATATAACGGTTCCATGGTGTAGTGGTTAGCACTCAGGACTCTGAATCCTGCGACCCGAGTTCAAATCTCGGTGGAACCTACAGTCGGTAGATAAGAATCAAAAATGATTTATTTTGATATCAAATTTATAAAAGTAAAAAAGAAAAATTATTTACTAAGAATTCAGTATTATTGAATCAAAGAAACTTATTCCTAATTCTTAATTATGGACGCAAATATCAATCGAGAAAAATGAATAATTTCATAAAAACGAAATATTTTTATTTATTGCATTAGTTAAATAAAATTAAAATTTTTACTGCAGAAAAATATACAAAATTTTGATGAATTAGCACTTCATATATATCAGCCTAAAATATAGTATATGAATTTAAACATATTTGTGTTGCATTCGTATTTAAATTTTTCTATCAATAACAATTTTATTTGTATTTAATAAAAATACCAAACGATTAATCGAATCATCTTCGCTAAAGTCGAACCGTTACCGTTAATCAGTTGGCCAATCGCGATCATAACGGTTCCATGGTGTAGTGGTTAGCACTCAGGACTCTGAATCCTGCGACCCGAGTTCAAATCTCGGTGGAACCTAACGTTGTCAGTTTTCAAGGGCAATTTTGTATTTTTTTGTTTTTCCTTTTTTTAATTTTAATTTCATTTAATTTACCGTGAAAGCAATCAATTTCTAGCAAATAGATTTTGCAAACAAATTCAATCGTACATTTTTATTGTCCAATTATATTTTCGTTTCATTAATATTGTGCTGCCATATTTTTGTACTTTACAGAGTGCAGAAATTTCCAAGCTGTAGTAGTAAATACAAAAACCGGTTATGATTAAGGTTTGTGTATACGCTAGCGCACTGAAGAGTGTTGTAATGGTCATTAATTGTTGTATGGAACATTTATTCGACTTTAGCTTATTTCTATCATTATATTTCAATATTTCCATTTCAAAAACGTTCAAAACTATATATTAATTTTTTGTCTTTGATCTGAACATGTGTATACTTTATGGCGTGTTTTTTGTTTTATTGCACTTTATTTATTTAAAGTAAATTTATTTTATTATTTTTATTTATAGTTTTTCATTTCAATTCATTTAATTTCATTTAAATTTTTGTTTTAAATTATTCTACTTTATTTTTTTATTGTACTTCTTTTTATTTCATTTTTTTTTAAATTTATTAACATTATATTTTTTTTGTTTTTTAAATTTCTTTTCTTATATTTATTTTTTTTACTATATTTTATCATTTTTTTTACTTTTAAAAATTTTATATTTTTTGTGTGTTATTTTAATTTTAATTATTTTATTTTAATTTATTATTTTCTTACTATCTATTATTATATTATTTTAATAGTTATTTAATTTAGTTTAATTATATTTTATATATATGTTTTATTTATTTTTATTTCTTTATATCATTTTATTTTCCATACTTTATTTAGGTTTTCTAATTATATTTTTTTATTTTCTTTTGTTATATTTAGTTTTATTCCCTTTTAATTTGTTTTATTTATATTCGATTCTATTTAATTTATTTTTTATCCCATTTTTTTATATTTTAATTATTTAATTATATTTCCCATAATTAAATTTTACTTCATTTTTGTTCTGTTCATTTCTTCTTTTTTTATTTCATATTATTTATTTTATGTTACTTATGCTTAATTTTTTTTTATTATTATTATTTTTTTATTTGAAATTATTCCGATTAAAATTTGATTATTTTGTTTTATTTATTTTAGTCATTTAATTTTAATTCTTACTATTTTAATTTCTTTTTTTATTATTTTTTTTATATTTGTTATATTAGTTGTTCTCCCTTTGTTTTTATTAAGTTTAAATTTTATTTGATTTAGTTTTTTTCCTTTTAAATTAACATAATCAGTTTTTTCTTTGTTATATTTTTTTCAGTTTTTTAGATTTATTTACATTTTTATTTTTTTTTTTTAGTTTTTTAAATATAATATTTTTTTTTTTTTGAAAAAAACAGTGAAATATTTCGACCCCAGTAAACCTTTGAAGAGTTGGCATCACTGCCTGTGCTAAATTTAAACAGCAAAAGTTATCTATTTCCCTTTGCCATTTTTCATTTTAGAAGTCCAGTCTTTATATGGAAATAAGATAACGTTTTTGTATTAATAAAAGTCTATGTTAAAGCTTATAGTGTTATCGAGTCCCATAAATCATTATAAATCGTTGCGAAATAATTATAAAATTTAATCATTTAAAATCAACAACACACACATGCAAATGTATGTAGCCAACGTACTTAACTTGAGCAGCCAAAAGTTAATGCGTTGACAGTTGATTTTGACGTTTGACTTGTTTTCAATCTGTATGAGAATGCTCTCATGCCCACCACCCCTACCGCTGTCGTCCCAGATACACATGTTAATGGCTTTTGTTTTGATTCGACTACCAAACATTACCCGTTCTCCATTTGAGTCACCAGCTGAGCACTTGCGCCAAGTCAGTGCCCACTACACCCACTCACGCGTTCGATGTATAGAGCAGAGAAAAAAGTCAACAATGAAAGCAGAACGAAAGTAGCTAACACAAAAAAGAAAATAAATCAAGAATTTGCTCTTCATTTTCAGTTGCTTTTGTGAGTTGTGCGTGAATAAAGTTTTGCGCTGACTATGTTAGTGAATTTGTGATTGAATAAATAGAATTGAATTAAATGAAATGTATTAGCATTGAAAATTGTACGATTTCTATTTCTGGTTTCATAAATAAAACTATAATTGTATGTATAAATATATACAAATGTGAATGGCACAGCTGGAGCTTGGCAAGGGCAGTGATATGCAATTAAGAGTAGCGAACTATTTGAGCATATCCACACACTAGCACACTGTGTTATAATTATAATTTAATTGCATTTACACCTCCAAGTGCAAAGTTCTTCGATTTACGTGAGTTTACAAATGAATTGTGAATATTAGTGCATTTTTAAATATTGTGCGCTGTCCAGGCGTGGGTTGTAGTGGTGTATCGAAGTTTTCCAACATTTCAAGCACAGTTATGCCCAAACGTTTAATGAAGCTACTAGTGGCCCTTGTCCTAACATTAATGTTCACGATTTCGTTGCTAAAATTGGTGCTTTTATTTTGGAGTACCTATCCAACTTGGTTATATGCAGACATTACACCGCCCGATGAGCCCACAACGGTAGATGAATGGCTGGAGCAGCAGCAGTTGGCACAGTACAAGCAACTCTTCCGGGAAAAAGGTGAGTTAGGGTATGTGTGTGTGTGCTGTTTTTTATTTCGGTTATGTTGTTGTGCGGTGGTGCGTGGGAAACGGAACTGCATTTTGTTTTGTTTATATGTACGTTTCCCTTCTCCACGCTTCTTTCGACAATCTGCATTTCTTTTTCTATTTTGTTTTGCAAATTTACTTTCATTTGATTATTTTTACATTGCTTCATTTCGTATGCGTCGATTGACATTGGTGTTGTGAGCGAAATGAGCGCACTCGGTCTCTCACATATTCCGCTTGCGTGTTGAGTTGCCGTATGGTGCAAACTTGTTTATTCATTAATTTATAAGACTTGAAGAGAGAATGCATTGTTTAAAGCTGGAAAATTATAAACTTTATAAAATTGAAACAGAAAAATTACAAATTAATTTTAGATAATGAACAATAAAGTTTTAATTAAATTGATATGGTATAAAAATGGTTATATGTGAGCTAGTAAATAACAAAACTTAATGAATTTATATAAAAATTGTAATTTTTAAAGCGGAAAATGTTTATTAACTTTAAATATATTAGAATTTAAGCATTCGAATGGCAAATATTCATTGAACTGATATGGTAAAAAAAATGGTTGTGATAATAAATAACCAAATATAAAAATTTAATACACAAATTATAATTTTTAAAGCAGAAATGTTTTTCTTAAAGTATTAAATAATATTCTTTAGAAAGCGGAAATACCAGAAATATATGGTAAAAAATTGTTTGTTAATTAATAAATAACAAAAAATAAAAACTCAAGTGTAGGAAAAGAATTTTTAAATTTGAAAAATTTTTTTAAATTTAAATGTTTCCGTATTCAAAGCAGACAAATTACATACTTACATATATTGGTGAAAAATAAGTTTATACTGAAATAAAAGTGTATAAAAAATTATATACGTTTCAATTAAGTTCCTCATTTATGTATGTATCTATATCTTTCGAATTTTAGTATATTTGTGTGTATATATGTAAGTATGTATATGTATTAGTTACATCAGTCAGTGCATATATGAGTTTAATAGATATTCGTTATGACCTAAGAACATGCATGCTTAAAATAATTTAAAATAGGCGCGCCCAAAATTTTGTTTTCCACTAACAACATTATGAAAACACACAAAAAGCATATATGTATGTAAAGTTTATATGCAATTAACTGATAAAACCAAATTTCTACATCGGCATCTAAAAAGTATTACTGAATAAATATTTAATTACTAATTAAAAAACCATACATATAAATTAAAATTCGTATATAAATTGATATAAAACACAAACATATATGTATATATGTGTACATTATATATACATATGCTTAGAAGTAATTTAAAATCAAATTGCCTGTGAGTTAAATTTCTTCATGACCCTACAAAGCTATCGAATTTATCAAAATTCTTTCAATAAATGATTTAATATTTTGTGCATTACGAATTTAAAACCCAAAATTCTTAATTCTTAAAATAATTATTTGAGAAAATATAATATTTTTTATAATAAAATTTTGTTAAAAAATCAATTTTTAATAAATTCCATTTAATTTTTATTGATTTAAATTAATTGTAATTTAAAAAAAATTAAAAACTTTTCTTAGGTTCCACCGAGATTTGAACTCGGATCGCAGGATTCAGAGTCCTGAGTGCTAACCATTACACCATGGAACCACATATCTACCCACAGTCCAAGTGACGTTTTGTCCACAAGCATGTGAATGAAAACTTGTATGTGAGAGGCAAAATACAATGCTGCCACATGATTTTTATAACATACTAAGTGAAAAAATTCAAAAATTAGAAATGTGAATTATTGATGAGGCCAAATGGTAATAAATGTGGTACATGGGATAACATTTAAAATATACAGGCAAATTTTCTTTCTTTATAAAATAAAAAGCGCATTAAAAATATCAAAATTTCTTATAAAAATTCAGCTACTTGGTTTTTTTTTAGACATTTGTGAAATTCTTATAGAAGTGACAATATGTAATTTTAACATAATTTTGTGTTTTCAAAGTATAAAAGTATATTTCATTTACATTTAAAAAATAAGAGAAATTTTTTTTAAATTTTTCTATAACTTAATTCATGAGACTTTGGTTCTGCTAATTTTTAGCTATTAAAAAATCGATTTTTTCAATTGGAAAACAATCGCCCATCTTATAATTGCATCCCTTTTTTCTTTTAGTATCATAATTTTCCAGGTAACTTTGTCAATTCAAAGCAAACACACAACCCTATCATATTATTAAACTCAACCAAGTATCAGTGAATCAGAATTATTAGCAGCATATTTGATAACCAACTACAAAACAAGGTAAAGCTAAAATACTTCATATCAACCTTTGCTAATTAGCCGTCGGAGGCTGAGTGAGGGGAGCGATTTCAAACTTCCACGATTAACTAATGAAAATGCAAATTTAATGAGCTTTAATATTAGGTAGCGATATTTGAGAGGCTGCCGGAATTGTAGAAGGAAATTAAAAGCTTTTTTACATATTTTTGATGAAACCCCTGTAGGAATATAAGCCATGGAAAAAAATGGATGAAAATGAAAAATATAAATGAATATAATCAATTGTTACAAAGCAAAATTAAAAAATTTTCACAAATTGTAATTACTAAACTGATTAAATACATTTAAAGAGAAGAAAAATACGATGAATAGCAACAAAATCACAGGACATTAGCCAAAACGAGTATCCTTATTTTGTTTTTTTTTCCGCCTTAAGTTGAATGAAAAGCTCACTGTTGACATTTGCCGCTCTTTAAATGTTATTCTCTCATTCTCTCTCGGTTTCCCTTTTATCCTTTTTAAAACTTTAACTGAGCGTAAGTATATAAAATCAATTGCCTATGTCCATTTCGTCTCAGTCGTGCTTTAACTTTCGTGGCGTCTCGTTGGTACTTTTATTTGCAGGATGTTCCGCGCGTTTGTACGTTGAACTGTGTTCCTTTGTTTTATATACTAAATACATAGATGTATCATATATTCCATTAGTAGACAGTGTTTCTTCCTTTTGTTATGTGAATGACATGTGAATTTTTCAATGTACGTGAAATTGTACTTGCATTAATTTTTTATGCAAAAAAAAAAAACCATAAATAAATAATTGTGTAAAGAGAATTCGTCGTCTTCGTTGAAAAAAAAGAAGTGTCACGCACCTGCAGTTGTTTGCTCAAATTAATACAACGAAAACGTGTGTGCTTCATTTAACCTATTTACTAAAATCTATGCATGTGTACATATGTATTTATGTATCAATGTATTTATGCATCATGTGCTATGTTGAAAGCAATTTATATCTTATACATAAATAAAATGTTTTTTGTGAAATAAATATTTTTCCTAAATTCTCTGGCCACTTTTAGTTAAATTTATTTTATTCAATTAATTAATTATATTTTACCTATGCAAATAATTTCGTTTCATTTTGCTCTTTTTCATTTTAAAATAAATTATTTCACTTTATTTGATTTTTTTTAATGTTTAACTTAATTTATTTTTTTTATTTAACTTATGTTTTTCGGTTTCTAATTTATTCTTCTTTTATTTCTTACATATTTTTTTATTTTACTTTTTAATTTATTTTATCTAATTTTTTAATAAATTTATTTTTACTTTATTTCCCTATCATTTATTAGTTTTGGTATTATTTCGTTTTATTTAACATTTTTGATTTTATTTTTGTTATACTTAATTTATTTTACTTTATTTAGCACTTATTTAAATTTATTAATTTCTCTTTTATTTTGTCTATTTTAATTAATTTTAATATATGAATTAAATTTTATGAATTTCATTTCATTAATATTTTTTCACTTAAATTTTATTTGATATTATTATATTATACCGATTTTTTTTAAATTAATTTTATTTTATTTTACTTTATATAATTTTATTTTATTTTATTTTAAGTTATTTTATTTTACGTTATTTTATTATTGTTTTTCTTTATTTTATTTAATTTTATTTGAGTTAATATAATTTTATTTTATTAAGTTTAAATTATTTTATTCTGTGTGCGTTATTTTTTTATTTTAGCTTATTTCATTTACTTTTATTTAATATTTAAATTCATTGATTTTTTTTGTTAATTTAGCTTACTTTATTTTATTTTATTTAAATTAATTAAATAAATTATATTTTTATGTTCTATAAAACCAAATATTTAATTTACTTTAATATGCTATTTTGTTAAAATTAATATTTTTACTTGTTTATATTTTTTAGGCCATTCTTCTTGTGTTTTGCTTCTTTCTACAACCTTTCTCCGCAAACATTTATTGCAAAAAATGAATTTTAAACCTGTGTGAGTGTTTTCATGCGTATACGCAACACATTCCTGCTTTTGTGTTAATTTTGTTTGCTGGTAGTTTTTTCCGTCGCTAAAAGTATTCAACTCTCGTTACTGTGTATGTGTGTGTGTGTGTGTGTATGTGTATCTTCCACATCAAGTGTGCTGCCATGTAACGCTTGAAATGATAATATAAAAAGTTCACTCTAACCTTTTGATCCTTTTAAAAAATAATTTTCCACATCGCTGCTCACGCATTAATTCTTCTCTCCAGTTCACTTGTTGATGAGCGGGGCTCAAATTTAACGTTTGATGGCCCATGTGGGAGCGCTGCACAAGCTCCATTCATGATTTAAGTACATAGGCTCACGTCCATATCTGTGTGCCAGCATTTACTTCACTTCACTGAGTACGCCTCTCTTTTGCTACTAAAAAATAAACAAAAGAAAACAAAAGTAATATTTATTGTGTTGAAAAAAAATAATAATAGTTTCGTAACATGCGTAAGCATACTTTTAGGCGTCAGCCGCATAATAATATATAATAATAATTATTATTTTTATATCGATGAAAATTTAAAAGTCAATTAATTTTGATTATACTAATTCTTGCATTTTCTACTCGCACTTTCAACTTTCCTTCTTTTGCTGCGGTATCAAATGTCCTCAAAAAGTTGACCTCATTTCACTGGGCAC